GAATTACAATGTCCATAACAGAGCTTCTTAATCCTTTATTCTTATTTTTATTTTGTTCTAAACTGTACCAACAATGAATTGTGGCATTCTATATTATAACTATACCTGCCATTAGAAAGTGAAAAATGAGTCAGGGAATTGGAAGTTGGATTTTTTTCCCCCTGATTGATTCAAACACAGACTATATCAGATAAAATTAGAAAAAAATACAGCATTTAAGGTTTTATTATGATAAATTACTGATTGAGAAGTCCTTAATAATGCATAAACAATATTTTTTTCATGAAACAGCATAGTTATCCCTTCTATGTCTTAGTAAAAATGCAAAGCATTCACTGAAAACTGATTCAATTACTCTTTGGATAACTTTGTAACTAGAACTTAGAAACCACATCAGAAGCTGCTATTACTTCTATATTTAATTGTTATAGTGTGCACTTGTTGATGATACAGGATTTAGCTGTTTACAGGTATCAATTTTTTATGTAATTTTCATATGGACTCTGTCCAAGGCAGACACTTGTTCAGAGCTTGGACAAAGACATTATTTCAGTATTTTTCCATAGAAATATATATATATATTTTAAAGATTTTATTTATTTATTTGAGAGAGAAGAATGAGAAATAGAAAGCACGAGAGGAAAGAGGGTCAGAGGGAGAAGCAGACTCCCTGCCGAGCAGGGAGCCCGATGTGGGACTCGATCCCAGGACTCCAGGATCATGACCTGAGCTGAAGGCAGTCGCTTAACCAACTGAGCCACCCAGGCGCCCATAGAAATATATTTTATTCCATCGTATTTAAACATGTATCAGCTCTTTCTATCTTTGATTAGAAAATAATCTGGCATAGATTTAGGTTTAATTATGTTTCAAAAGTATTCAAAAGATCAGGACACATATCTCTGAAGACTATGTTTCTGTGTACATTCAAAATGAAATAGCAACACAAATGTCAATCAATAAAGACCAAGTACGTTGGCCATTGTAAGGTTGATTTAGTGTTATATGGAATTAGGAAAAATTAATAAGCAGCAATTCCACTTAGTTACCACTAGTTCAAACTTTCAGATCAGTGATGTTTTTATTCATGTTGGAATTCCCTTTGTGATTGAATAATAAAAGCTGAAGGTATTCACATACCATTCAGTTTCTTCAAAAATATATCATTGAAGCACATTGCATATGTTAAGAGGAATTTAACATGGATCTTAGGATTGTAAAATAGTAGCAACTTGTTCCAGATGAAACTGAATTTGGCATTCTGTATTTAATAAAAGAGTAGAAACTCCTAAAAGGCAAGGGTTATGACTTAAGATTCTTTGTAGTCACCGAAGTTCTTAAGACTCAATGTATGCATTTTGATTATGAATGTCCTACCAGTGAGATTAAAAGGTTTACCACACATGAGTTCATATATTTCACCCAGTTCATACGAAGGCATGTATCATATTGTGTCAAAGTAAAGACAGATGCTCTGGAGGTTATCAGTATCCTCTTACCACTCAACAGACATAGGCAATTTGTTGGGCGTAGTTCAAGATGGAATGACATCATTGAAGTCCATTTTTTATTGTTAGTGATATTTCCCCTCTCCACTAATAAGTCAAATTCAACTAAAGCAGGGGTCCCATGTATTGTACGTGTACTGCATGAAAAGCATTCTTATTGTTTTCATTCATGAAAATTTAATTAACGTGTACAACTGGGAGGTAGATAATGAGATTTTGGGAAAAACTCCGTGTGTGTGTGTGTGTGTGTGTGTGTGTGTGTGTGTGTGTGTAGAGACAGAGAGACAGAGAGGAGAACATTGGTCAGGCAAACAATTTATTACAATGTCAGCATGTATCATGATAAAATATATCTCTTTAACAGATTTCAGTGTTTTCTGTTCTATTTTTTTAAACTTTTTGAGTAGTAGGAAAAATAAAATGAATTGAAAAGAAACATAACAACTTCTAAAAGCTTAAAACATTCCAAAAAGTGTGTTGCAAACCTTCTTACATAAACAAATTCTAAGAAAAAGTATACAGTTTATTGAAACTACAGTTGAAAAAAATTGGTATTCTTACAAAATGCCTTTTACTTCATGTACTCATATTTTTTTCTTTTAAAGATTTTATTTATTTATTCATGAGAGACAGAAGGAGAGAGAGAAGGAGAGAGAGAGAGAGAAGCAGAGGGAGAAGCAGGCTCCCAAGGAGCAGGGAGCCTGATGCGGGACTCAATCCCAGGACCCTGGGATCACGACCCAAGCCGAAGGCAGACGCTCAACCATCTGAGCCACCCAGGTGCCTCATATTTTTTTGTAATAAGCACATTTTATACTCAAGTATACGGAGTCACTATAAAGTCCAGAAACAAATGAAATACATAGTTTTTTTATCTTATATGATTAGTTAAATGATATTAAATGGTATATTTAATGTGATATCCCTCATTAGGAATGCTTAAGACAATGTGTTATGCAAAACCACAATGGACATTGTGTATTAATGCATTTCCATTCATCTCAGAACACATATTCATGATATACTGACTCGCATAGTCTCTCTGATTTCCCCATAAAATCCTGTGTTATTAGTATATCTCAGAAGTATCAAGTAGATACAATAGGTTTAAGAAATAAAATAATATTGGAGCACCTGGGTGGCTCAATTGTTAAGCATTTGCCTTTGGATCAGGTCATGATCCCAGGGTCCTGGGATCAAACCCCACATGGGGCTTCCTACTCCATGTGAAGCATACTTCTCCCTTTCCCACTCCCCCTGCTGTGTTCCCTCTCTTGCTGTGTCTCTCTCTGTCAAATAAATAAAAAAATCATTAAATAATAATAATATTATTAATCTGTATTTTCAGATTTTAGGGACACCTTAAATGCTTCAGATCATTTAACAAAGACCCTGGGTCTCATGTATATTTTCTCTATCTTTTATTTTACTGCTTATTTCAAAATTCTCTACACAGGGATACCTGAGTGGTACAGTTCATTAAGTGTCCAACTCTTGGATTCCACTCAGGTCATGACCTCAGGGTCCAGGATCAAACCCCACATCATGTTCCATGTACAACATGGTGTGTGCTTGAGATTCTTTCTCTCTCTCTGCCCCTCTTCCTTGTGCTGTCTCTCTCTCTCCAAAATAAACAAATAAAATATTTTAAAAAATTCTTTACATAGGGGAAAAAAGATGGCAGAAGAGTAGGGGACCCTATTCCAACCAGTCCCCAGGATTGAGCTGGATATCTACCAGACCACTCTGAACATCCATGAAATCACCCTGAGATGTAAAAAGATATATCTGGATCTCTACAAACAGAATATCGCAGGTGGTTGGTTTCGAGGTATGAAGCAGGGAGCCGTGATTCTTCAGGCACATATCAGAAGATAAATGGAAGAGGGAGGGAGCTGCCATAAGTGCTGACACTGGGAAGGTGAAATAACACCAGAGCACAAAAGCCTCCATGCTGGGGACCGGGCACAGACTCGCACCAGAAAGACTTTAGGGCAGCCTCCTGGACTGAAACTTGGAGCAGCGGGGCTGCACGTGGGGGTGGCTGGTGGTTTTAGAAGCACAAAGGGCAGAGAAGTGCCCCCACCTGGAAGTGAGGACTGAGAGTGCTGCTGATGGGTGTACAATGCAGGGCACAGCAGATTATAGCAGCAAAGGCAGAAATGGTGATAGTGTGGCCTGGAGAGCTCATTGAAGAACAGACTGCAATCTCTCTATTCTGAGGCAGAGGGTTGGAAATGATATCTTCTGCTCTGATTCTCAGAAGAGATGCCAAAAGCCACCAGAGAAAGATATCAGAGAACAAACTCCCCCAAAAATCGGTTTTCACTGAGCCCATCCCTGGCCACAGTGGGCAGGGCAAATCTGCCCAAACAAGGTTGCCCAAGTACCACCAGAGCAGGCCCCTCCAACAGAAGACAGGCTGAGAGAAGGAGAGGCCAAAAACCCGAAGGTCCCTATAAAACAAGTGCATCTTGCTTAGGATGTGGTCAATAATTTGGACTTTGTACATTCCCTCAACCACCCTCAACAGAATGAATAGGAGGAGGAACACCCAAAACAAGAAAGACACAGAGACTGTGACTTCTGCCACAGTTTGCAAATGGATACAGATGTAACCAACATGTCAAAGATGGAATTCAGGCTACCAGTTGTGAAGACAATAGCTAGAAGGGAGAAATCGATTAATGGCAATATAGAGTCTCTAAGGGCAGAAATGAAAGCTGAACTGGCAGAACTTAAAAATGCTATCAATGAGAACCAATCTAATCTAAATACTCTAACAGCTAGGGTAACCGAGGCAGAAGAACAAATTCATGATCTAGAAGACCAATTGATAGAAAAGAAAGATAAAGAGGAAGCCACGGAAAAATAACTCAAAATCCATGAAAACAGAATGAGAGAAATAAGTGACACCATGAAAAGTTCCAATGTCAGAATTATTGGGATCCCTGAGGGGGTGGAGAGAGAGAGAGAGGACGAGAAGATATATTTGAGCAAATCATAGCTGAAAATGTGCCTAATCTGGGGAATGAAACAAACATCCATGTCCTAGAGGCAGGGAGGACCCCTCCCAAGATCAAGGAAAACAGGCCAATGCCCCGGCTTCTAATAGTAAAACTCACAAATCTTAGAACCAAGGAAACCATCTTAAGGGAAGTTAAGGGGAAGAGATTCCTTACAAACAGAGGGAGGAACATCAGAATAATGTCAGACCTATCCACAGAGACCTGGCAAGGCAGAAAGGGCTGGCAAGATATATTCAGGGTACTAAATGAGAAGAACATGCAGCCAAGAATACTTTATCTGGCAAGGCTGTCATTTAGAATGGATGGAGAAATGCAGAGCTTCCAAGACTGGCAGAAACTGAAAGAATATGCGACTACTAAACCGGCCCTGCAAGAAATATTAAGGGGGGGTGTCGGAGCCGCTGCCACAGAGTCCAGATCTAACCTCGCGCGCCACTGATGCCCGCGCGCCCAATGTGCACTCCCGATTCCTTTTGGTTCTAAGTCCAAAATGGCAACTCTCAAAGATCAGCTGATTCAGAATCTTCTTAAGGAAGAACATACCCCCCAGAATAAGATTACAGTTGTTGGGGTTGGTGCTGTTGGCATGGCTTGTGCCATCAGTATCTTAGTGAAGGACGTGGCAGATGAACTTGCTCTTGTTGATGTCATGAAAGACAAACTGAAGGGAGAGATAATGGATCTCCAGCACGGCAGCCTTTTCCTTAGAACACCAAAAATTGTCTCTGGCAAAGATTATAGTGTGACTGCAAACTCCAAGCTGGTTATTATCACAGCTGGGGCACGTCAGCAAGAGGGAGAAAGCCATCTTAATTTGGTCCAGCGTAACGTGAGCATCTTTAAATTCATCATTCCTAATATCATAAAATATAGCCCAAACTGCAAGTTGCTTGTCATTTCCAATCCAGTGGATATCTTGACCTATGTGGCTTGGAAAATAAGGGCTTTCCCAAAAACCGTGTTATTGGAAGTGGCGCTATGTGGCAATCTGGATTTAGCCTGGTTCTGTTACCTAATGGGGGAAAGACTGGGAGTTCACCCATTAAGCTGTCACGGGTGGGGTCCTTGGGGAGCATGGAGACTCCAGTGTGCCTGTATGGAGTGGAGTGAACGTTGCTGGTGTCTCTCTGAAGAATCTGCACCCTGACTTAGGCACTGATGCAGATAAGGAACAGTGGAAAGAGGTTCACAAACAGGTGGTTGACAGTGCCTATGAGGTGATCAAACTGAAAGGCTACACTTCCTGGGCCATTGGACTGTCTGTGGTAGATCTGGCCGAAAGTATAATGAAGAATCTTAGGCGGGTGCATCCAATTTCCTCCATGATAAAGGGTCTCTATGGAATTAAAGATGATGTCTTCCTTAGTGTCCCTTGCATCTTGGGACAGGATGGAATTTCAGATGTTGTGAAGGTGACTCTGACTCCTGAGGAGGAGGCCCGTTTGAAGAAGAGTGCAGATACACTTTGGGGATCCAAAAGGAGCTGCAGTTTTAAAGTTTTCTAATGTACCACTTCACTATCTAGACTATAGCAGGATTTTAGTTGGAGGTTGTGTATATTGTCCTTATTATCTGATCTGTTCCTCAAGTAATATTAAAATAGCCTAAGAAAAAGCATCAGTTTCCTAAAGTTCCAAATAGGAATGGTTCACCAAACCCTGTAGCTGTATACTGATACTGGATGATACCTGTCTTTGTAGCCCTAAATTGGTTAACGTAAGTTAGCCCCACCATCTCAGAGGCTCCACTGCCAGAGCTGCAGTGGCTCTGCACACCAGATGTGTGTTTACTGGGTTTTCTGTCACTTCGGGTTCCTTCTCCCAACACCTGACATGCCTAGTCAATCTTTTCCAGTCAGTCACATCCTGGGATCCAATGTATAAATTCAATATTGCATGTATTGTGCATAACTGTCCTAAAGGATCTTACTTTGTGTACCATGTATGTCAGAATATAGTGTACATGGCCATATAATGTAAAAAGACAATGCAACCAACTAAGTGTCATACCAAATAAAATACCAAATAAATTTTGAATGGTGACTCTTTTTTGAAAAAAAAAAAGAAATATTAAGGGGGGTTCTATAAAAGGAGAAAGACCCCAAGAGTGATATAGAAAAGAAATTCACAGTGACAATCTATAAAAACAAGGACTTCACAGGCAACATGATGACAATAAATTCATATCTTTCAAGATTCACCCGCAATGTGAACGGCCTAAATGCTCCCAAAATGGCACAGGATTGCAGAATGGATAAAAAGAAAGGACGCATCCATATGCTGCCTACAAGAGACGCATTTTGAGCCTAAAGATACATCCAGACTGAAAGTGAAGAGATGGATATCCATCTTCCATGGCAACAGACCTCAAAAGAAAGCTGGGGTAGCAATTCTTATATCACACAAATTAGATTTTAAGCTAAAGACTGAAGTTGGATACACAGAAAGATAATATATCATTCTGAAAAGGTTTATTCAACAAGAAGATCTAACAATTTTAAATATCTATGTTCCCAATATGGGAGCAGCCATCTACATAAGCCAACTATTAACCAAAATAGTAATATTGATAATAATACATTATTGTAGGAGACCACAGTACTCCACTCTCAGCAATAGACAGATCAGCTAAGCAGAAAATCAACAAAGAAACAAGAGCTTTGAATGACAGACTGGAGCAGATGGACCTCATATATATATATACAGAACATTCCACCCTAAAACAACAGAATACTCATTCTTCTCAAGTGCACACGGAACTTTCTCCAGAATAGACCACATGGTGGGTCACAAATCAGGTCTCAACCAATAACAAAAGACTGAGATTATTCCCTGCATATTCTCAGACCACAGTGCTTTAAAACTGGAACTCAATCACAAGAAAAAATTTGGCAGAAATTCAAACACTTGGAAGCTAAAGACCACTCTGCTCAAGAATGTTTGGGTCAACCAGGAAATCAGAGAAGAACTTAAACAATTCATGGAAATCAATGAGAATGAAAACACATTGGTCCAAAACCTGTGGGATACTGCAAAGGCAGTCCTAAGGGGGAAATACATAGCCATCCAAGTCTCACTCAAAAAAATAGAAAAATCCTGAACTCACCAACTAACTTTACACCTTAAAGAACTGGAGAAAAAGCAACAAATGATGCCTAAGCCATGCATTAGAAGAGAAATAAATAAGATTAGAGCAGAGATCGATGAATTAGAAACCAGAAACACATTGAATCAGATCAACGAAACTAGAAGCTGGTTCTTTGAAAGAATTAATAAGATCGATAAACCACCGGCCAGGCTTATCCAAAAGAAAAGAGAAAGGACACAAATTAATAAAGTTGTGAATGAAAGGGGAGAGATCACGACTAACACCAAGGAAATAGAAACAATTATTTTAGAAATTATTATCAACTACTATATGCCAATAAGTTAAGCAACCTGGACGAAATGGATGCCTTCCTGGAAACCTATAAACTGCCAAGACTGAAACAGGAAGAAATTGACGCCAATAACCAGTAACAAGATTGAAGCAGTGATCCAAAACGTCCCAAAAAACAAGAGTCCAGGGCCTGATGGATTCCCTGGGGAATTCTACCAAACATTCAAAGAAGAAATAATACCTATTCTACTGAAGCTGTTTCTATTTTCAAAAAAATAGAAACAGAAGGAAAACTTCCAGACTCATTCTATGAGGCCAGCATTACCTTAATCCCCAAACCAGGCAAAGACCCCCCTCAAAAAGTAGAATTTCAGACCGATATCCCTGAAGAATATGGATTCCAAAATTCTCAAGAAAATCCTAGCTAGTAGGATCTAACAATACATTAAACAGATCATCCACCACGACCAAGTGGGATTTAACGCCAGGATGCAAGGGTGGTTCAACATTCGCAAATCAATCAATCCGATAGAACACATTAATAAGAGAAGGGAGAACTGTATGGTCCTCTCGATGCAGAAAAAACATTTGACAAAATACAACATCCTTTCCTGATTAAAACTCTTCAGAGTATAAGTATAGAGGGAACATTCCTGAAGTTCATAAGATCCATCTAGGAAAAACTCACAGCGAATATCATCCTCAATGGGGAAAAGCTGAGAGGTTTTCCCTTAACATCAGGAACAGGAAAAGGATGCCCATTCTCACCACTATTGTTCAACATAGTACTAGAAGTCCTAGCAACAGTAATCAGACAACAAAAATAAATAAAACGTATTCAAATTTACAAAGAAGAAGTCAAACCCTCTCTTTTCACAGATGACATGATACTTTATGTGGAAAACCCAAAAGACTCCACCCCCAAATTACTTGAACTCATACAACAATTCAGTAATGTGGCAGGATACAATATCAATACACAAAAATCAGTTGCTTTCTTATACACTAACAACGCAACTGTAGAAAGAGAAATTAGAGAAATGATTCCATTTACAATAGCACCAAAAACCATAAGATATCTTGGAATAAACCTAACCAAAGTGGTAAAGGATCTATACTGTAGGAACTACAGAACACTCAAGAAAGAAATTGAAGAAGACACAAAAAGATGGAAAAATATTCCATGCTCATGGATCGGAAGAATAAACATTGTTAAATTGTTTATGCTACCCAGAGCAATCTACACCTTCAGTGCCATCCTGATCAAAATTCCAATGACATTTTTCAAAGTGCTGGAACAAACAATCCTAAAATTTGTATGGAATCAGAAAAGACCCCGAATCTCCAAGGAAATGTTGAAGAAGAAAAACAAAGCTGGGGCCATCATGTTGCCTGATTTTTAGCTATATTACACAGCAGTGATCACCAAGACAGCATGGTACTGGCACAAAAACAGACATATAGACCAATGGAACAGAATAGAGAGCCCAGATATGGACCCCCAACTTTATGGTCAAATAATCTTTGACAAAGCAGGAAAAAACATGCAATGGAAAAAAGACAGTCTCTTCAGTAAATGGTGATGGGAAAATTGGACAGCCATATACAGAAGAATGAAACTGGACCATTCTCTTACACCCTACACAAAGACAATCTCAAAATGGAGGAAAGACCTCAATGTGAGACAGGAATCCATCAAAATCCGTGAGGAGAACATAGGCAGTTACCTTTTTGACATTGGCCACAGCACATTCTTTCAAGATACATCTCCAAAGGCTAGTGAAACAAAAGCAAAAATGAACTTTTGGGATTTCATCAAGATAAAAAACTTCTGCACAGAAAAGGAAACAGTCAACAAAACAAAGAGGCAACCCATGGAATGGGAGAAGATTTTTGCAAATGACACTACAGACAAAGGGCTGATATCCAAGATCTATAAAGATCTTCTCAATTTCAACACCCAAAAAACAAATAATCAAGTCAGAAAATGGGCAGAAGACATGAACAGACACTTCTCCAAAGAAGACATACAAATGGCTAACCGACACATGAAAAAATGTTCATCATCATTAGCCATCAGGGAAATTCCAATCAAAACCACATTGAGATACCACCTTACACCAGTTAGAATGTCAAAAATTTACAAGGCAAGCAACAACAAATGTCGGAGTGGTTATGGAGAAAGGGGAACCCTCTTACACTGTTAGTGTGAATGGAAGTTGGTACAGCCACTTTGGAAAACAATGTGGAGGTTCCTCAAGACATTAAAAATAGAGCTACCCTATGACCCAGACATTGTACTCCTGGGTATTTACCCCAAAGACACAGATGTAGAGAAAAGAAGGGCCAAATGCACCCCAATGTTCATAGCAGCAATGTCCACAATAACCAAACTGTGGAAAGAGCTGAGATGCCCTCCAACAGATGAATGGGTAAAGAAGATGTGGTCCATACATACAATGGAATATTACTCAGCCATCATTAAGGATGAATACTCAACTTTTACATCAACATGGATGGGACTGGAGAAGATTATGCTAAGTGAAATAAGTCAAGCAGAGAAAGTGAATTATCATATGGTTTCACTTATTTGTGGTACATAAGGAATAGCATGGAGGACATTAGGAGACGGAAGAGAAAAATGAAGGGGGTGAAATCAGAAGGGGAGACGAACTATGAGAAACCATGGACTCCAAGAAACAAACTGAGAGTTTTAGAGGGGCAGGAGGTAAGGGGATGAATTAGCCTGGTGATGGGTATTAAGGTGGGCACGTATTACATGGAGCACTGGATGTTATATGCAAACAATGAATCATGGAACACTACATCAAAAACTAATGATATAATATATGGTGATTAACATAACATAATAAAAGAAAAAAACTAATGATGTATTTTATGGTGACTAACATAACATAATAAAATTAAATTAATTTTAAAAATTCATTACATAGGGACACCTGGGTGACTCAGTCAGTTGAGCGTCTACCTTTGGCTTGGGTAGTGATGCCAGGATCCTGGGATCGAGCCCTGAGTCAGGCTCCCTGCTCGGTGGGGAGCCTACTTCTCCCTCTCCCTCTGCCTGCCACTCTGCCTACTTGTGCTCTCTCTCTATCTCTTTGTCAAATACATAAATAAAATCTTTTAAAAAAATTATTTACAAAAATTCTATAGTACTCCTTGCTATTGACATCTGTCTTTGGGGATTTCTTTAGACTTTATATAATTGACCTCCGTGTGTATTGAAAGATGTTAGACTGGTGTCAACCATTGTGTAAATTCTTTGTAGTGTTCATAGTTTACAAATCAACCAGAAGAAAAGAACTGATAATTTATTGTGCCTGATCCCACTGCAAAAAGGCTGGTAAACTGAGACACTGAATATAGCTGGCTTAATAGTCACCAAAAAGTATAAGGGAAATATAACAGCCACATCAGTGCAATCTTCTTTCAATACGCTATGAGATAAAATTCATGGTATATTATTTTCTGTTGGCTTTTCCTTGTGCTTGCACTTGAAAGCAGGTTATGGGTTACCTGAAACATTCAAAGGAGTGACACTTTTCATCTTCCCATTATTAGTGATAAGAATATCAAGTTATAAAGATATTTTTAATTAATAGAAAATATAGATATGTATATAAATTCTTAAATGTATAGATTTTTTTATGAAGACTGACAACTTCCTGGGCAGTTCAGTCTCTAAATGTGGTCATTTGTTTTTCCCATGGCCATTAACAACTAAATAGGTTGTTTCATTTTCCTGAAGCCTTACCAGAAATCTTTGCTCTGTATTTTACTTCTAGGTCTAATCTTGTACCCTCTTGTAGAAAACCGACCTCCATGTGTCAGAGCCAAAATATAATGCAAAGACAGAGTTTGGGATAAAGAGGAACCAATGGTTTCATTGCTTTGCCTAGCAAAGGAGGTTGCCTTCAAAGGAAGGCTATGGCCTTCAAAAACTGCAAGCCCAAAGGAATGGGCTGGGGAGCTTTATATGGAAATACAGGATCTAGCCAGTTTTGATAGGAATTGTGTAAGTGCTACCAGCCTCCTTCCTCATGTCTTTAGGGTGATACTGATTTTCTGAAACAAAAGGATAAGAAGGGAGGAGGGGAGGTTTGCAGAAGAGAGGAAAAATGGTTACTTAATGTAATCAAGCTTCACTAAAGCATTAGTGCAACTTTTTATTTTTGATCAACTTTATACTTTTAAGCAGTTTCATTATAACTTCCAAATGTGACTAGACTTTTACTATTTTTTTTTTTCAGGCTGTTCCATGGTATGACCCTCATCTGGGTTAAGGCTGGTAGTCTCAGCAGAAATTAGGGGAAAACACTGAGATCTGGTCTGGTGGAACATCTATGCTTTGTCACTACCACTCCTAACTCCTAGGGTTTTTTTGTTTGGTTGGTTGGTTTTTGTTTTTTGTTTTTAATTGTTTAAGTAGGTTCCATGCCCAATGTGAGGCTTGAACTCACAACCCTCAAATCAAGAGTTGCCTGTTCCATCACTGAGCCAGCCAGGTGTCCCCAACTCCTAGTTTTCTTTCTTCAATATTATCTGAGGAGAGAAAATAAGATCTTAATGACCAACCAAACATTCTCACTTCTGAAGAAGTTACAGAAACAGTACCAAAGCCTGGCTACAATTTCCCTAGACCTCTAATTTTTTCCACTCCCCCCGCCCCGAATTACATGAATAGCATTTAACTCAATTTTAGATAGATGCCTATGGAGGCAAATCATTGGCAAAGAACCTTCAGAAAAGGGCTCTGCTTTTAATTACATATTTCAATGGATTTCTGCTTATAATTGCATATGCAAAATTTAATGATGAACACACTTGGGAATTGAAGCCCTTAATAGACGTTATGTGAGGTGATTTTTGGTACATAAAACCAGAATTTCAAAGAGGACCCACACACACCACTTAAGAGTATTAGGGGAGGGAAAGTATAAAGTAGGTTTCTACTTCAGATATCAAAGAATTCAAAGATAGAAGGTATCTGTAGGTTTGTCAAGCACTTATTGAATATCTAGTATGTCAGTCATTCAGCTACATACTGGGGATGCTTAGATGAATAAAACATGGCCTCACTTGTTTGTGATAGCTCAAGGTTAAGTGGGGACAGGGACAAATCTGTAAATAAATCACTGCATACAGTGTGGCAATTGTCATGACAAAGTGGCATTAGAAACAGCTATTGAAGCAGCTACTGGGAGCTTTGAAATTAAAAAAAAATACTGGAATTTAAAGGAATTAATATGCCAAAAATTAATAATTGCATTTTCTCTTAAATTATATAAGAATTTTCTAGGTAATGAAGCAGGAATGGGCATTTCACATAAAGGAAATCACATGTACAAACTCTACATGGGTTCAAGCAACAATGAGAAGTCCAGTGTGGTATAAGGTACATGAGGCCTGGGGACCTGTGATAGATGGTATAGCACCAAAATATGTTAAAACCAGATTGTCAATTTGCAATTTAGAAGTAATTTACAGGGAATGAGGAGTCAAAGTAGGTTTCTCTTTTCAGTAAGACATTGCTATAATCCAATTTATGTTTTAGGAAGATAATCATAGGACTTAGAGATGGAGGGGGACAGGAAAGGACATTGGCTAGAAAAAGACTTTTTTTGCAACTGGTCAAGGGTTGCCAAATTAAGCAAATGAAAATATAAGATACAAGTTGAATTGAATTTCACTTGAACAGTAGATTTTTCCATATTATAAGTATGTCCCATGCAATATTTGGGGACATACTTATACTAAAATTGATTTATTGCTTATCTGAAATTTAGATTTAACTCAATATCCTGTAATTTATCTGCTAATTCTAACACAGTCCAAGACAGAATAAGATCCTTAAGAAAGGTACTGGAAAAAGACCTTTAACAGAAATGAAAAGATAAAAAATAAATTAAAAAATAAAAGTGTTGGTGAGGATGTGGAGAAAGAACACTGGTGCACTATTGGTGGGAATGTAAATTATGGCAACTACCATGGAAAACAGTATGGAGTTTCCTTCAAAAATTAAAAATAGAACTACCCTACAACCCAGCAATTGCACTACTCGGTATTTACCCAAGAGATACAAAAATTCTGATTTGAAGAGATACATACACCCCAATGTTTATAGCAGATTATCTACAATAGCCAAATTTTGGAAAGAGCCCACGTGTCCATCAACTGATGAATGGATAAAGATGTGGTATAGATATATATAGATATAGATATAGATGAATATTACTCAGCTATAAGAATGAGATCTTGCCATTTGCAACCACATGGATGGACCCAGGGGGTATTACACTAAGAAAAATAAGTGGCCCCTGGGTGGCTCAGTCAGTTGAGCATCCAACTCTTGTCTTTGGCTCAGGTCATGATCTCAGGGTCATGAGATAGAGCCCCAAGTCTGGCTCTGTGTTTAGCCCAGAGTCTGCTTGAGATCCTCTCCCTCTGACCCTCCCCCCACTCGTGCTCCATCTCTTTCTCTCTCTCTCTCAAATAAATAAATAAAAATAATCTTTAAAAAAAAGTCAGAGAAAGACAAGTACCATATGATTTTACTTATATGTGTAATCTAAACAAAACAAAAGAACAAACAAACAAAACAGAAACAGACTTAGAGAGAACAAACAGATGGCTACCAGAGGGGTAGTGGGATGGGCAAAATAGGTGAAAGGAATTAAAAGGTACAAAGTTCCACTTATTGGGCGCCTGGGTGGCTCAGATGGTTAAGCGTCTGCCTTCGGCTCAGGTCATGATCCCAGGGTCCTGGGATCGAGTCCCGCATCAGGCTCCCTGCTCCTTGGGAGCCTGCTTCTCCCTCTGCTTCTCTCTCTCTCTCTCTCTCATGAATAAATAAATAAAATCTTTAAAAAAAAAAACAAAGTTCCACTTATTAAATAAATAAGTCATAGAGATGAAAGATACAGCATAGAGAATACAGTTGATAAGATTGTAATGATGTTATATGGTGACAGACGGTAGCTACACTTATTTTGGTGAGCATTGCATAATGTATAGAATTGTTGAATCACTATGTTGTGACCTAAAACTAATATAACATTGTATGCCAACTACACTTAAATAATAAAAATTTAAAAAGAAAGTTACTGGAGTGCACAGATTCAAGAGATAACAAAGAGATAGAACTGGCTGGACTTAGTGACCAGTTAAATATTAGAGGTCAAGGAGAAGGAGCCCTGGTGAGTCCCAGGTTTCTAGCCCAAGAGACCTATTTAGGAATGGAATAAGTATGCTGATATAGAAACAGAATTCAGATTTGCACATGTTAGGTTTAAACTGCCAGGAAATGTCCTAAGACCTTATCTTTCTTACATTATAAGTAATAAAATACTATTCCTTTTATTAGGAGATGTGATAGGATATGTTTAGTGATGTTTCTAGAAATTCTCAGAGGAGTTTGGGGCAATGAATGGTTAGAAAGGAGCCATTTGCACAGTAAGAACATTTTTTTTCCTTAGATATACTTAATTTGAATGCTTTTAAGGGAGGCAATGGAGATCATTGGCTCAACCACAGCAAAAGTATTAATGGCTTATTTTTCATGTTGTTTTATTGGTCTTACCTGGAAAATACCACCACCAACAAAACATCTGAAGAAT